GCCGCGGTCTGAAGTCATTACATGTCTGCGCTGACAAATCGAGAACGACAGCAGAAGAAAACAATGTGATTGTGAGTCGCTCACTTCGTCCCAGATTTGATTAGTCCGACGGCTAAATGTGTTCATAGGATAGAATATTACACGCTTTCATTGCATCCTGGCCGAATCTCGGCAATCTTCAAATAGAAGCGGTGTCTCGTTCCTATGGATTTGAAGCAGTAAGAACCACCGCAAGTGAAATTCATAGGCGCATTTTAGCCTTGCGTTTCGCACCGCTACCACCTGAAAGGTCTAGACCGCAACTATCATCAGACTTCGCTACATATTCTGTGAACATCTATGATCGAAAGAACAACATTCACGCGTTTAAGGTACAACATTTGGAGTATCATGGAAGGAGGGAGTCGTGGAGGAAATACAAGTTCTGGAAGCGATCTGATGATTGATTTGTAATACCTACGGTAGTTTAATCACAATGAGTAGTTTACCTTGCACAGACTGATCGTACAAAGCTACCATCATAATGTACTTTCCTTTGTTCAAGGATCATTTACCGAATTCCGAGAAAAATCAAGACATTGGCCAGAGTTTGACTGTAAGTCTAACCACGCAGCTGCCAGTGTTCGGTATCTTCCTGTGAAATCCGTACTTATGGACCGGCTTGATTTCGTTCCTGTTTTGTCCGTCCCATGTCTTCAACTGGTTCCGAAAAAGTTTCCCGACCTTAGTGCGAGTTTCCAGCACTAACTTTCAGACGAAGTCGTGGCAATTTGTTCTGTGTTAAGCCGAGGAACTCCCGTTCGCTAAAGATCTACTGCGTTACTTTAGCCGTCAAGACAGTCAATACCGTTCCGCCGGCGCTCTCATTAGGCGACTGATCCTCTGAACCAGAGAATACATACTTCATTCGCAGTGCCTCGTTACTACTTATCCAGGACAAACGCTCTGTCCTTGCACAGAAGAGAGAAGGACCCAGGACATTTTGTGGCTCTGACGACCTCTCCGATTTCGGTCGGATTGGAATTGGACATGGTCTCATATAATCTCTGTGTTCTTTAAGTTCCTGCCTCTGTTATCTTCCCTCGGAATATTAGCTAACATAATCTGGACTTGTATATAGGTTACTCGGGCCATTCTCTGAGTCTCTGACAATGTCCCATTTCTTCAGCCCAGAAGTCTTGTTACTCAAAAGCGTCTCCTACCTTCCGACTGTACTAGATAGCTACCGTGGATGCGACGACTCAGGGATACCGATATCCATCAGAATTTTCGTTAGGCATGTTTGCAGTGCGAATTTCTCATATTTCTTTACATCGTGTCCCGTAAAGCGGCCAAGCGAATGTTCTGTATGCTTAACTTCATATCCCACATTGCCTCCGCTAAAATTCAATGTCCTTGTTCGTCTTATTTTTATCTCCATTCTCTCTGAGGACCTGTCACAATCTTCACATGGCGCATCTACTGTTGTTTTCCTACAAATTCCGATCGATGTTCACGGTGCTGTGGAAATCAAGATATGATATTAACCCTGAAAGTGATGTTCTCCGAAATTTTCAACTATTACATCCAGGGGATGATTCAACAACACTCATAAGACCAATCACAGGGAACTCTTGTATCTTCACCTTCAAAAAAAGCGGGCCGATGTAGTGCTATCCAGGCGCTTACCTTGCAGAGAGCATGGCTGAGAAACGGACTATCAATGACGGAACAGGTGGGAATGTCTGTGGCTTGGAAATAGCATATCCATCCTTCCTGAGGGATGCAGCGTATATCCTTATAGTCCAAGAAACACAACCTGAGGCTTCTTGAGGCCACCTACATCTCCTTGTGACGACTTTGTCATTTACACCATCATTGCCACACGGTACAGTGCCTCTTGAGCATGCCATGCGAGATTAAATGCTTGATGGTTGCTGTTCAGCGGCAAAGTTGGCCTTCGATGTCGTCGAAGCGATTGGTGCGGTGCTTCTCTTCGGATTTCCTGTGTGTCCCATTACACAGCCAATCAAGAGACTTCATACCCTCATCACTCACATGCCAATGATGAACAAAGCTCAGTCACGGCTTATTCATTTAGAACGCATGGATTTAAATGCTCGACGACTCACAAATCGTACAATGAGAGCCTGCGCAAGATGATTAGAAATATGACTCGTCAAGATTCACGGTCTGTAACAGTATAATGTAGAGATGATGGTTCAAATATTCCAGTGCTGCATTAACAATAAAGCGTGTCACAGCTTTTCTGAAGCTTCAGGGAGAATGGGAAGGTGTTTCGAAGAGCACAGATTTCAGTCATTGACGACGTCTACAAATTTTATTTCCACAAGTTCGGAACATATAGATATCCACATAATTCACGCAAGCGTAAATTGCTTGTAGGGCCTAAGGTTCTCGCAAGATTCAAGTTTTCTTTCAGAATGCCAATTCTAGTAGGGCGGCACAATGAGGAGAATTTTCTCCGGAATGCATGAAATATCTTAATAAATACAAAATATATTTTAATTTGTACCGTTGAACAACGTGCCGTACCTATGCTAGAACAAAAGTAGGTCACACCCTTCTTTACAGCGTCCGAAAGTGCCCGTCCGTATCGCTTGAAACATAGCCCGGACATCAACCCATCCTTCTCGACGTATACATAGTATTGTACCACGTTCTGATGAGGATGCTCCACCAACATCTCGGAGACAAGCGCCTCCTAGATCATATGCGGCCAAATAGGATCGGATTTCCCCAGATCCTCTGGATGAAAATGGAACGACGTGCCGACCTTGACATAACTGTCCTTGAGCAAAGATTCCGGAGCACGGATTAATCCAGGGGACGGGGCAGTTTGGTATAGGGAACTTGGTACAAGTTTGGCATCACGACTAAGGGTAGAACGAGCATCCTCATGTTCACCGCGGGGACGTCGAGAGGGCAATTGGAGGTAAAGGAAGTCGGCCCCATCCGACGAAAGCAGTTCGCGTAGGCGGAACGGCGAGTCAGCTGCAACATCCATAATTGCGACATCGTGAACAAGGCGCCGTCGGCGGTCGGTGGGTTCAAGAGTGGTCATCAGGTTTCCTTGATGAAGAAGATTCTAATATTAAAGCGCAGAAGAAGGCGAAGCGCGCAGAATCGATGAACAACTCGTTGAAACGAGTCAAGCAACACGAGGGCACATCCGTCGACGATTATGATTTGGACACGGATTTCATCAGAGCTTGAAAAGCCTGGGAGCATGAGTACCCCGAACAAAAGAAACATGCCTTGTCCTGAGAACTGGGGGCACGTCTTTGTCGTCCAACCAAGAATATGTTTGATATTAGCTACACGTTCCAGGCTAGTTTCTGATGAGTCTGATGCGAGGAACCTTTTTGAACTGCGTTACTTTTGCATAGATCATCTGGACCTTTTCTCTTTTTCAGTTTCGAGTGGTTCTGAGGACAGACATAGAATCCTTTCTCGATCATATCAAGAAAGGTATCAAGCATATTCATGGTCTTGGATTAGTACATGTGAGTTCATCTCGCGAGTGTGATGATGGACACGTTTATAATTAACATGCAGAACGATATCAATCCCAGCAACATTCTACTCGAAGCCGATGGTACACTGGTAATCATCGACTTTGATTCGTGCATTGAAAGAGGGAAATCGATTGATGGAGAAAGGGGGACATATCCGTTTAGTAACGATACAGAAACAGCAGAATTTGGCAATGACTTATACGGAGTCGAGAAGATATGGGAGTGGATGGAGGAAACTATACCAGGAGACTCTCATTAGGTAGTAGGCATCATATACATTCTTTCGCCTTGAGATCAGCTCCAGGATTCTCTTAGCAGTACGCTATATAAGTTTATCATCAACGTGACACATATATTCAACATTAAAAACATTGTGACCACATTTCAACTGGTTACTTATCCCTCTGACATCTTATAGCTTAGCACGCACAGGTCGCCCACATCTCCAAAATTCTGGCTTCGTCTCGAACCCTTTCAGTAATGGAAAGACTGGTGGATTCAGGTAGGGATAACACTAATACTTGCGGTGACACAACCTACTTTTCCATGAAAGGATGCTGACTACAAATCCGGGCGAGCTGTCTGCTTAGCAACACTCCCTCGGCATGGTATTAGCTTTTAGTATTCATTGGGTACAGGGGACTTATGTTCCTGATTTTCTTTGACCTTTTATCGTGGCATATATGTGACCCTGGAAGCTCGGACGCCGGAGGTATCGATCCGGCTATAGCATCTGTATAACATGGGACGTCAAACACTCTTTGGACCAATTATCCCTAGTGAACAGAATCTCACCATTCGCTGCAGTTGACTTAAATGTTATATTGCAAGTCCCAATGATTAATTTGCAGTATCTCATCTTCTTTTGTCTCATTGATCTGGTTGTCTTTTACGAGAGGCCCTAGTTCTGAAGCAGTGACCACTCTGCCTGCTCGCTCCACCTATCGTTGGAAGCCCATCCTCGCCAAGAAAAGAAAGACCCAAACGGAGGGCTCCTTCTGATCCTCCACTTCATGATGACCCTTTTCCCTTTTACGCACTAAAATGTCTCTGTATTCTTTCCATCATCGCATCCATAGTCATTTCCTTTGCAGATAAACGGCCAGTGTTTTCATTGTCTTGGAGATAGTCGATCCTTTGACTTGGACAACAATGCCCTTTCTCCGTGCTTCAACAATGTCCAAGCCTGACAATAGTCCCAAATCTGACTCGTTCCAAACTGAGATACCGTCGAATCTTTGAGCATCTCTTTGGGAGAGCAAGGTCATTCTCCAAGTCTCAACTTTTCACTCCATTTACGGCTTGTGCTACTCATATCATGGGCTTTGTTCTCTCAGGGCTTCATTTGATGACTTACATGTCTTTTCACAGACCGTCGCTTCCCCCAGGTGTACATATATCTGCGACAAATGCACCGGAGTATTTACAAAGACGGGCAACTTGAAAAACCATAAGCCGCTCCATTGGACGAAGGAAGAACGGGAAAAAGTGTATGTCTTATTTCTACCTTCACTGACACGTAAAATGAATTTCTCTGCCACAGAATGTACAAATGCCTGGAGTGTCCACAAATGATGCTACGGAGATCCGAGTTGCGACACCATATTAACTGGAGGCAGTAAGTCCTTTGTTTAATCTCTACTAGTCACTCAGCATCCTTATCGCTATTTTCTCAGCAGGAAGATAGTCTGCAGCGACGTTAACTGTACTTTCACGACGCTTTCACAACGACGAAGCCGGCGGATATGAGATGGCACAAAACGAGCCACTGCAATGCACCAGATCCGTGCGTCGAACCCCCGCGCACACCTTGGCAGTGGCACCGTGTTACCCCTACGTATGCTTCACGCTACTGCCCAGCATAAGCTATCCCCAGTCCCTTCGACAAGCGCTGCTGCTGATGGCTCTCTGTCGGACTCTTGGGGCTTCTCATCCGCTCCCAGTCGTACCGTGCCATCTCCCGACGCCTTCGTATAATCCTA